ACCGGCTTCTATAAATCCGACCTAATTCTGTAGTGTAGACATAGCCTTAGTCAGCTGGCATGGGCCAGACATGGGTTTTTAACTGCAGTGTAGACATGCCCTCAGAGTCCAGGCTCCAGCGCAAGCCTGAACATCTACACTGCAATTTTATAGCCCTGCAGCTTGAGTCCTGTGAGCCTGAGTCAGCTGATCTGGGCCATCCACAGCCCTGCTGTGTTCTCTTTTATTGCAGTGTAGACATACCTTTAGGTTATGACAATCCTGAAGCTAGATTCAGCTGTCTTGCTACCTTAATGATTCCTGAGGAAACATTGCTAAGGAGTCCAGAAACAACCATTGGGATAGGTACAGAGTGTCTCTTCCAAATACTAATGTGATCCTTGTACCGAAGCAGGCGTGATGGACAGCCACACGCTGTCCCAGGAGAGACTGGTTTGGCATAGTTTTGCTCCCAGAGGATTTTTCCCTTATGATATGTTTTACACTCTAGCGCCATCTAGCAGTGTGCCTCAGAAACAGGATTGCACACATGTTGGAATCTGCCTTCCTTCTACAGAGCAGGCAGGCAGTAATCTGAGAGGCAAGAATAAATGGTGAAATAGCAGTTCAGAATGGATTGGTGAGGAAAGGCTTTTTTCTGGTTCATCTGTGCATCCTTATCCCTCCAATCTATCAAAGTCTTATACTGCAGTTACATTGTAGTATCTGGGCACCATTGTTGTCACTCTCGATCAAGTTTAATTTTGAAGTAGGGTTACATGAAATCTGTGATGCAGGGAACCCTGCATCAAAGTGGGAAGCTAAGGCAACTGCTGATATTTAGATAACTAGGCCAGAATGTGCATGTTGTTAAGGTCAAAGTTTGCCAAGAGGCTGGGGCTAAAACTCCCATTCCTGTAATAAGTACCAAAGGGCATTTAGTGCCGGATTCTGACACCATTACATTGACTGGTACTCTGCTCCATGAATAGTCCCATTGGAAATCAATTAGGTTACTGTAGCAGCATGGCAACTCACCCCTGCAGCGCCTCCTGCTGGTCATCCGGGAATTAGCTCTTTCCAGCACAGAGCACCCTCTGCTAGCCGGTGTCTCGCTGTCCCCGTGTCCCTCCCAGACCCTGGTGCCCTTTTATCTGGGGTGCTGCCCCCCTGGCAATACCCCCACACTCTGCCTCTGGGTCTCCCCTCTCTGTGGAACCCCCAACCCTCTAATCCCCACCTTGCCTCAGTCTGGGCTACTGCCAGTCATCATCAAGCCCCCGCTCCCTGGGGCGGACTGCAGTGTAAAAGCCACTCATCATAGGCACGGGGGGGTTGGACCAGCTGCCTTCCTCTACCACCCAGTACCTCTATGAACCTAGGACCAGGCCCTGCAGCCTGGGGAGTTGCCAGCCTGGAGCTCCTTCACTCCCAGTACCCTTTCTGCAGGCAGCTAGGCCCTGCTCCCTCCAAGACTGGAGAGAGCCTTTCTGAGCTCCTGGCTCCCAGACTTTTTATACGGGCCAGCTTTGGCCTGATTGGGGCGTGGCCACAGCTGTGGCTGTTTCCCCAATCAGCCGAGGCTTGCTGCTTTCCTAGCAGCAGCCCTCTCCCAGGGCAGGAGCGGGTGACCACCCCGCTACAGTTATTCACAGAGTAACTGAGTATGGTTTGCAGAATTAGGGCCCTTAATGACTATAGATTGGCACGGGGCCAGAGTTTTTCTCCTTAGAAGACTCCACTTCTCTGCCTTATGTTTATTGTCCCACGCTGGGGCATGGAAGAAAGCACTCCTTTTGAGTCACTGATACCTCATCTTTTGCATTCTAGCGATAATTCACTTTCTAGGTGTTTGCACTTGTCCACACGCATTCCATCATCCCTGAAGAGAGAACCTCCCACCACATCCTCAGAGAAATCTCTTAAGGTACGTCTACACCACAGCTGGTAGCATGCTTCCCAGTGTGGAAAGAAAGACACGTGTTAGATCTGCTCAAGCTAGCATGCTAAAAATGGCGGTGTGGCCATGGCAGCACAAGCAGCAACTTGGGCTAGTGGCCTGAGTACAATCACATCTGTTGCCGGGGTTCTCGCCCAAGACGACGACGCAACCACACTGTTATTTTTAGCAGTGAGCAGAGCTAGCATGTGCCTGTCTACCCGTTCTGAGAAGCATGCTCCTAGCTGCAGTGTAGACATACCCCGATTGCAGCGCTTAAGATATTCTTCCACTTTTGGAATGGAATTTTTAGCTTGTCTGAAATATTTGTTTACTTGTCCCACTTTCTGAGACATTTCTCTTATTATAGAAACCCCCTATGTGCAAGACGAATTCACTGATCTTGCTGTTATTTTCGTGACTGTTTCTTCTGTAACCCTCTCGTTTTTGTCTTTGTCCACCAAAGGTTTGGCAGGAAGAAAGTTCTGTTTGCGACCATGGGGGTGCAAACCGGCTTCAGCTTCCTGCAGGTCTTCTCTACCAGCTGGGAGATGTTTTCAGTGCTCTTTGTCATCGTCGGCATGGGACAGATCTCTAACTATGTGGCAGCCTTTGTACTTGGTATGGGAGTTTGTTATGCATAGCACATTTTCAGTGTTATTGTTCCCCCTGCTCTCCTCATTTACTAATGGCTTGTTTTTTATTTTTTTCCCAAGCAACACTGTTAATAAGAATATAACCTTACCAAGCATGGCTAACTCCTAATCCATTTGAAAATTTTCCTTTTAGTAAAATAGTAACACATTAAAATAAAATGCTTTGTTTACCAAATACTTAAATGAGCAAAGGGAGTAAATCAGAACAAGTCTTTATCTGAAGCAAGTGCTCTCCAGTGAGAGGATGCAGTTAGACGCACGCTCATAGTCATATGTTGGTAGACGTGTAGAATGAGTTGTGCCCAGTTGCTCTGGTGAACTTCAGTTTGGATCCAAACACATGCAAATTGTACATATGATACTGTAATTTGTAATTGTGATCAAACATGTAAGTGCAACTTAAGACTTCTGAAAACAATCTGTGATGAAAGTTAAGCTGTCACATGGATTCTGTCATTACATCCATTCTATGATCTCTAAGCAAAGGTGTCTGATTGGAGGACAAGTAAGACTACCTATGAATCTGTTTGAGAGAGCTCTGAATGCTTTTGTTTTAAAAAGTGACTTCAGTGTCTAGAGCACTGAATTCTTTGTGGCCATAACAAAGCCCAGAACAGCTCTGAAAACAGTGTCATACAGCAGGCAAAAAACATGGTTTGTTGGTGTAGGTTTTACCAGACTAGTGCCTTTTGTTGTGAATTTTTTGGAGTCCAGAAGGCTTTTACTTGTTGAGTTAGAACAATTTTAGGGTCTAATCATATAGTTTTTATTCATAAAAGTACTCCCTTTTGGTGCAGAATCAGGCCCTAAGATAGATCTGGCAGCATCTTTTTAAAACAGGAAAAAAACGCAACTAATATAGCACTAACAATTGTAGCATGTGCGAGGAACAGTTTTGCTAAAAGTAGCGTCAATTCTTGTATAGTGGTAAAATATTTGGCTGCTGTTATTTCTGATCAGTTAAAATGCTAATCCACACACTCTTGTTTTGAACAGGCACAGAAATTCTTGGCAAAACAGTTCGTATTATATTCTGCACGTTAGGCGTTTGCATATTTTACGCAATTGGCTACATGTTGCTGCCACTGTTTGCTTACTTCATCAGAGACTGGCGGATGCTGCTTCTGGCTCTTACTTTACCTGGGCTGCTTTGCATTCCACTGTGGTGGTGAGTGTAACTACATTAAAAGTTGTTTGGCTTCAGAAAGTCTCACCTACAGCTGATAGGGTTCAGACTTGAGGTTAACATAACAGAAATGTGGAAGCTGATGCAATATTGGCCTTTAGCAAGAGGTTATGACTGAAACAGTATGAGTGTATCTGGTGTCTCCTTTGGGGGTGTTTAATAGAATCATAGACAGTAGAAATCTTTAGGTTTCATTTCTTCTGCCAGATTTTGCCATTGTAGTACAGAATCTAAAATTTTCTTTAAAAAAAAAAAACTTGAAAAAATGTATAAAACTACTTTTAAATGTAGGGCTGTCTGGCTGTGAGATTAAGGTCAGATTCTTGTCTCAATAGCTCTGGATTCACACTGATGTAACTATGCTGGCTTCATACCAATAGCTGAAATTGGAAGCTGGTCGATAAGTGTTATAGAAACACCCAAGTCCTACCTACACTTAAAGCTTCCACCAGTGGCACTGCATCAGTGGAGAATTACTGCTCTGAAGTTGGTTAACATGGACCTGTGGTTTTCAACCTGTGGTCCCCGGATCCCTGGTGGTCTGCAGAGTATGTCTAAGGGATCCGTGAAAGGTGACTATGAAAATAAGTTTCAGGCCCCCAAAAAGGCATTCCGTTTTTCTTATCAATCAAAAGTATGTGAATACTTTCACCTACAGGTCAAAACCCAGAAATGTTATCATTACCATAGAAACCCACAGTTTAGCGCCCTTTCTCATGTTGTGTCAAATGCCGTGCCGAGCAGGTGCAACATCAATAGTTGAATTCCGTTCAGTCAGTTTTCAGTCTAAGACTTCTAAGATAGGGATCCGCGGACCACAGGTTGAATTTCCAAAGGGGGCCGCTCCTCCATTTGAGATTTTTTAGGGGTCCGCAAATGAAAAAAGGTTGAAAATAACTGACATAGAACCTACATCTAAAGCTCTATCAGTAAAGAATTAACCTTCGTGCCAACACCTCTGGCCTATTACCAAAGCCTTCCTTAAGAACTTTCCGTAATATTACTTAATGAAGGATGGCTTAGTTGTTGGCATTATCATTAAGCTAGAGGAAATTTGTTGCACTTTTATTTTCTCACAGATAAATTTTTGTTCTCTTTGCACTTGGCTAGTCCTGTATTTATCTTAGCTTTTTCTATAGTATCCATCACTGTATTCTGATGCCTTCTGGTGCATTCTGATGCCTTCTCCTACATATGGTCTTATCTAGTGATGCCCAGGGCTTTTCTGCTACATCTTTTTCAATGAGCTCATCTAAATATCTAAGCTGTTATGTGCCCAAAAATAACTGCTGGCACATTTTATAGAATTTGGCTATCTTCTGCACCCACAAATCAGGCAGTTAAATGCAAAAGAGGTATAAAATGTATCTGCAGGTGCGAAATCCAAGGCCAAAATGAGGCTGTTTTACAAAAAGCCTTTATATGTATATTGAATCTCCGGGCCTTTGCCCCCATATTTGGAGAAAGTTCTAAGCTGGTTTCTAGTGCTGTTTGGAATTGCTTTCAGGATTCTGACTCTTACCTTCCTGTCTGTATGGGTTGGGGTGTGCTTTTCCCCTTGTGACTCCAGGTTTAACTTGTTTGTCTTTGCATTTTGTTGTTTGGGATATTTTACAGATACTTTGTTTATGTTTATTCATGAATGGAGTAAACTAAAGTAAATATCTGCTTATCGGTTTTAAATCTCTGTACAGTATCATCAGTCAACCAGTTATGGAAAAGGACATACAGTCTAGACACAATTTTTGTGGGGCCAAGACAAAATAAAAATGCTCTCTGTGTGCAGTCTGGGCAGCTGCAGTTTACTGGACGCTGTCGGATCAAATTTTACCCAACATTTATGTTTTATTTTTTAAAAAATGACTAGAAATGCTTCCATCAAATTGAACAAACAGTTCAATACAAACAAGCTTTACAGAATAAAGGGTCATTCTCCTCTGCAGCGTTTGCAACCTGAACAATGCAGCACTGTGCTAGTTTGTGAGAACCAAATATCGAAGTTGACCATGCTGGGTGAAATGCCATTTGTAGCAGGAACAAAATTAGAACTTTAAAATGTTCACTTTTAATAAACGTAGTTAATTTGTACCATAGGAAGGGAAATATTTTTCTCAGGATTGTTTTGTCATCACTGCTGCTGTCAGGCAAACAAGGAATAAACAACAAGCCATGTTAGTTTAAGGTCCATTAGAAACAATCAGTCAGATCCTGGCACCTGGCTTCATCCCCTTTGCACTAGGTGGGGCTGATCGGGGAGGAGAGTAGAAAGGTGGTGTAGAGCTACTTCCTACTCAAAACCTCCGCCAGAGTCCTGTGGCTTGCTTTTTGAAAGGCAGGCTCTTGCCTAGCATTTTGGACAGAAGGGAATGATTAGCTCCTATTCCCATTGAAGTCCATGGACTTCATTGAGAGTAGGATTAGGCTAAGAAAGGCAGAATTAGAGACCACTGGTAGCTGGGAGATGAGTTGGGATTGAAGTCTGTGGAACTTTATTCAGAAAAAGCAGCATTTGGGCATCTATATGATTTCAGAATTTTCCTCCACTGAATACTGTTTTTATGGAACACGATAATCCTAAATAGTCCACAAGGTGGAGCTCCTTCTCTTCCTAGATTAGAGGTGGGCAAACTACGGCCTGCGGGCCACATCCAGCCCGCGGGACCATCCTGCCCAGCCCTTGAGCTCCCAGCCAGGGGGGCTGGCCCCCGGCCCCTCCCCCGCAGCCACGCCGCCGCACGGGCAGCGCTCTGGGCGGCGGGGTTGCGCACTCCTGCCAAGCAGAGCTGCAGCGTGTCTGGGTCCAGCCGGGCGGCGCGGCTGCCAGATATGCTGTTCTGAGCGGCATGGTAAGGGGGTTGGGGCTGGGGGGTTGGATAAGGGGCGGAGGGTCCCGGGGGGCAGTCAGGGGACAGGGAGCAGGGGGCGGTTGAATGGGGGGGCGGTTGGATGGGGCGGAGGTTCTGGGGGGTGGTCAGGGGATGGCGGTTGGATAAGCGTGGGAGTCCCGGGGGGCCTTCACGGGGCGGTGGATAGGGGTCGGGGCAGTCGGGACAGGGAGCAGGGGGGTTGGATAGGGGGTGGGGTCCCGGGGGTGGTTAGTGGCGGGGGTCCCCAGAGGGGGCGGTTAGGGGACAAGGAGCGGGGGGGGTTGGATGGGTCAGGGATTCTGAGGGGGGCAGTCAGGGGGCGGGAAGTGGGAGGGGTCAGATAGGGGGCGGGGGCCAGGCTGTATTGGGAGGCACAGCCTTCCCTACCCAGCCCTCCCAATGTGGACCTTGGGCCAAAAAGTTTGCCCACCCCTGTCCTAGATAGTAGGAAATACAATATATAATTGAGTCCCCTTTCTCTTGTGAAGGCAGCTTGTATATAGCTGTCTCATCCCACAGTGATATCTACAATTATTAACTTATATGGATCACTATCCAAATGTTACCCATCTACAGCACAACGTTGTGCACACAGTTTCACACTGCCTTAGTTTCTTTTGATAAAACATTTTCTTCTTGTACTTTGCAAGTTTGATTTGTAGCTTAACTTTTTAGTCCCTTTTAAGTCCATGAACAAATTTCAATCTCTTTTTCACAGTATATGTTTATCTGCTTTGCATAGATGTGTGTTTTGTTTTTGTTTTTAATCACTGCAAGGTACAGCACATTTTAAACTATTTATGCCTATGGCGATATGTATGTGTGTCTTTGCAGCAGTGGTCAGTGTGGAAATGCAGATGTTGTTGTTCTGAAACTTGTTGCAGGGTCGTTCCAGAATCTCCCCGGTGGCTGATCTCTCAAGGAAGAGTACAAGAGGCAGAAATCATCATCCGAAAGGCTGCAAAAACAAATGGTATTACAGCCCCAGATGTAATATTTGACCCTATGGAGGTAAACTTTCATGTGTATTAAAACTGTCTGCCTGATCCTCTGGTTACTATTCAAGAAAATCCATTTCCAGATTTGTTATTTGGATTAAGGTAGTTCCTGTAACGTCCTAGGCACTTTCCAAACAGATAACAGATGTTCACCCCATATCCTTCCTCTTCGTAAATCTTCTGAACCTCCGTGACTTCCATTCCATGAGCACTCCAGCCAGAAAGAAAACACATCTCTGTGTTCTGCATTGTACCCATTTGTGCCTTTTTGATTGTAGTCTCTTTAGGGCAGGCACTTTAATTTGTTTCATAGTTTACTTGTTGCTCTGTGGCTTGTACATACCCTGCACTGTAATGCAGTAAATCTTCTCCCCCGCTTGAGAATGGACTCTACTTCTTTTTATGAAACAGCTGATACATGCCCGTGAATTCTCACTTCTCAGGGTGCTGGAGCCTGGCCACATGGTTGGGAGATTCCAGGATATCATACAAGATGGACTTTGCTTTCAGATTTCCCCCAGCCATTGATTTTTGGATATAAAGATCATTGTCCCAGACAGAGATGTAAAGCCCCCCAATGGTGAAACAGAATAAGAGAGCACATAGCGAAACAGGCAAAAACCTGGCCTTAAACTAAAGGGATGAATGAAAACCCATGGACCCCCACTTGCTATTTAGGACCGTTCCTAGAGAAGGAGAGCCCCACTCAAATGATTTGAGGACTTCCCCTCAAAACTAGAGTCTAGCTATTTATTTTACTGTTCTCTAGTATAATAGAGCCCTGACCACATAAGAGCTGTATCTTCCCTGAATAGGACCAAACCCAATCAGGTTACAGAACTGTGCAACAGCCTGATTGGAGCCTTAAATCTCATGAGATTTCCAGCGCTCCCTGCCTTTGGCCAGGGCAGAGAGAGAGTGGGGACAGTCTTCTTCTGAGTCTTCAAATCCTATCTCTGGCACCAAAGAGCCTCTGAAACATTCTGTTAACTTAAACCACACAAAACAAAACATTCGCAGTCTTCTCTGCGTTAACCTTTGTTGCTGCACCACAAACGTAACCTGGCAGAAAAACTGCCAATGTCTTTTTTTTTTTTTTTTTTTTTTTTTTTTTTTTTTATATAAATGGAGATATCCTATCTCCTAGAACCGGAAGGGATGGTCATCTAGTCCAGCCCCCTGCCTTCACTAGCAGGACCAAGTACTGTTTTTGCCCCAGATCCCTAAGTGGCCCCCCCTCAAGGATTGAACTCACAACCCTGGATTTAGTAGGCCAATGCTCAAACCACTGAGCTATCCCTCCTGCCAGTCACTAGGGGCTGGGTGTTGAATGTTAAAGGGAGAGACTGTAACTCCTCAGATCGTAAGCAGGGATTCATTGCAGGGATTGGGTCTACTTCTGTGCTTGGATAGTGTCCAACACAGTCCTGATACCGGTCAGGACCTCTGGGTACTACTGTAATATAAATATATCCAAGCTCAGCATTTCTCTCAAAAACCCTTTAGGGTGGAGTCATTATTATGCACCACTTTCCTCTTCCCTCCGCCCCACCAATATTTCCCCCCCTCCTGGAAGTTTTCTTTCTGTCTGAGTTGGGCTGAAACAATGTAGGATTTGAGGTGGGAAAAGTGTGTTAATATCCAAACTTGTCTCATTTTTGGAGGTCACACTGACATCATTTGGGTCCCCCAGTGATCCTGGAGGATGACGGACTCCTGGACTCTGTTCAATTAAGGGGCAGTGGGGTTTCAGATTATAGAGTTACATTCAAAGCATCATTTCTGTCTCATACCAAATGATCGGCCCTCTCAGCCACTCCCATACCTTCCTTCTGGGACCTGCCCCATCGAGGATTTCATTGTCTGTGTATCCAGCTACTAATGGGCAGAGCCTCTTCTCACGGATAGCAACTGTTAGACTTACACTACGTTCCTCTTTTTTTAGTTTCCTGTTTGTTGATTTCTTGGCAGCTAATGGTGACACAACAGTATAGTTCTTAATAAAGATCATACGATTTACAAGAAAGGGTGGAGAGTTGCACTGCTGCAAGCAGTTGATGTGACATATTTGTCTTTAGGGGGCAGCTTGTTTTCAGGAAAACAAAACTCTACCTCTTAATACTACTAAAAATGTCAGGCTTTTTAATGGACGATGATTTATAAAAACAACAAAAGGACCCTGCAAGGTGCTGAGGCTCCAGAGCTTGGGCTGCAGCCCGAGCCCGAATGTCTACACCACAATTAAACAGCCCCTTAGCCTGAGCCCCATGAGCCCGAGTCAGCTGTGATGGGCCAGCCGCAGGTGTCTGTTTGCTGTGTAGACGTACCCTCAGAAATCGTTTACCTTCACCCACCGTAGCTATATCAGCCTTATTGAAAAGCTGCACTCACATTAGCTCAGATGCAATTTACAGCACATTGGTGAGGGTCTTTTGGTGTTGAGGAGTGAAGTTTAGGGCTGTTATTCACATTAGTAATTCTTATTCATGCAAGTAGTTCCTTTGATTTCAGTGGGACACATTGTGTGTATAAGGATTCCTCACATTGAAGGCAGTTCTCCCACCATTTTTCATGTAGAAAATACTTTACTCCACTATTATTCCCGTTGAAGTCAATGGAACTTCTTTCATAGTAAGGTAATATTCTGCGAGTAAGGGTAGCAGATTCAGGCTCAGTAAGATTGCAGGATTAGGCACTATGTAACTTTTGACAGTTTATTAGGATCAGAATCTCCAATGCAGTTGGCTTATAGGGACTTGATTTGGTATGAACTATTTTGTACATTCTTACATTGAGAACTAGGGAATGCTGTGTTTATAGCTACTGTTACAACAGCCTCAAAGATAACACATTCCTTCCATTCTCTGCATGTGCAAACCTCACATTTATTTACATGCATCTCTGCTTTGGCTGCAATTTAATCTCAGAATGACCTAGCTGAAAAGGATGTGGACAAACCAGAGATTTCCTCAATCTCCAGGAACCAGCTTGTTGTAAAAACAAGAAATGTAGAACTGAGGCTGATCAGGAAGTTGGGGGGGTGTATCATAATATAGGGTTGGTCAGATGATAAAACCAGCAGTTGGATTGTCCAGCATACCTCTTGATTGTTGATTTGTATGGATTAAAGTAGTGAACATTGTACCCCTAAAGTAACCTAATGCTCTAGGAGAAAATGCTTCTAAACAAAAACTTCTGAAACTTGCAGTATCAGAGTGTACTGTAACATCATCTGCCTAGTGCCCATTGAAGTGCCAAATATTGTTTAGTATTATTACTAACATGCTTAGGGGGTTCAAAGAACCAACATAAATCCTGTCTTTAGAATTTGCCATTTTGAATTTAACTTGAGAGGAGAAAGAAACCTTCCACACAATTGTTTTTGATTGCCTTCACTCAGTGTTAATCTCCACATATAGCAGTGTATGGAATGACACTAACGTGCAAAAAGCTCTTCTTATTGCAGTTGTAGAAATGGAAGTTTTCACCTAAACATAAATTGCCAAGGGTGGATAAAAATCATGATTAATAATGAAATCAGATTATTGTTTCCGTGTTGATAGTTCTTTACTTCTCATTTTATAGTCTTGAATTGCTAAAGTGGATGCTTGTACTTATTTCCTTAATTGGTTTCCTAAAAAAAAAAGATAAGTCCAGCATCATTGTTACTCTGAGAACCACACAAACTCAGATATGAAATTGTTAAGTAAATACCTTGTGTTATATTTCCAACCAACACCGTCTTCTGATATATCGAACGTCCGCAAGTCAAGGATGCTGAAATGCTTCAACCAGGCTATTAAGGGTTTGCAGTTTGAAGTCAGTAGGACTTATGCTCCTAAGTCACTTACATGCTTTGGAAAATCCCTCCCTAAGATACTTAAATATAGGTTTAGGAGTCTAAAATTAGTCAGAAAAAATTAGTTCTCAAATAACTTTTCATCCTTAACACTGAAGCAATTTTGTTTTGAAGTGACAAAATTTGTATGCCAATAAAAGAAGTTTTGAGTAAAAATAGAATTTTACCCTCTGATACTGTAAACACTTATGCAGATGCGTAACTGTAGTCACATGAGAAGTTCCATTGAAATCAAGGGACCATTCATGTAACTAAAGTTACATACCTGCTGAAGTGTTTGCAGGATCAGAGCCTTAACTTTCAATATTTTGTCTCTTGCTGATAGCAGTTTTGTTAAGAGACCCTACCAGTAATGACATTTTAAGAAAGCATTTTATAAATTAATTATAAATTTTAATTTAAAGTTGTAATAGCTCAAGTTTTCAAATTAGTTTTACAAAGACTGAACCAGATTTAAATCAGTGATTTTTTTTAAAAAAAATCCTGTGATTTAAATCAAGGGATTTAAATAATGTAAAAGACTACTACTTCTCTTGGTAGTTTGTTCCAATGGTTAATTATCCTCACTGTTAAAAATTTGTCTTATTTATAATCACCCTGATTTAAATTTCTCTCCCTATAAGGTGTCCTAAAGTCTCTCGAGATGTTTACTGCAGTCCATATTGCTCATTCAAAATAAACATTTTGCAATACAGAATTGGCTCTAATGACAATGTGTCCATGTATTTTCCCCCTAGCTGCAGGAAATGACTTCCCAGAAGCAGCAGACGCACACCATTTTGGACCTAGTGAGGACAAAAAATATTCGACTTGTCACTATTATGTCAGTGATTATTTGGTAAGCAATAGTATGCGCCTAGAACGCACGAGTACAAAGGCCGCTGAATGATAAGCACCTGCTGTTAGAAACTGCTGTAAAAAAAAAAAAACTAAGGAAAAAGGAGGCACAGACAAAGTTATTAGCATAAAGTTCAAAGGCCAGTAAACTTCTGGCTAATGCTACAAGATTCAGATTAAACAGGTTGGTTTTTCATTTAAGGATTACAATAAGGGACTTTTTTCAGTAACTAATAAAAAAAAAAGACTTGTGAGAAGAGTGAATATTGACCAATGTTGAACATTGACCTGTGTAGTTCTCACTGCTCTTGAACTTCTTGCAGGGATGTCTGCTGCCATTGTAAAAAGTGCATGGCCCACTCTGCCCTCCAACTTCATTTCCAGTAGCCACCATAGAGGATCTCTTAATGTCTTGGAAAAGCTGGCTAGTATCTCCTGCCCTACAAATAGTGGGCTCTGTATGTTTAGGGTATTAGTACTGGGAGTTGTATAATATAGGGTGGCTGCAAATAAAGGGGTGCATAATCCATCACACATCTCAAACTATATGCGATGACTCTATTGCCTCTGAACAAGTGAGAGCCCCCTAATCAAATCCCTTTGCCAGGCTCTAGTAGGTGGGGCGGAAGTCTGAGGCCTGATCATCACACAGTGTGTAAATCCCCCTACAAGAATGTTCTTTGAGAATCCATATCGGAGTATCAAGCTTTTCCAACATGACAGCCTGATGTAAACTGCATTAGCAGGGGATAGTGGGTCTAGATTTGATGATGCTTTGAGCTCAGTAATACTTTTTGAAAGCACAGATTTGAATATACAGCAGAACAGCTGGGAATTCAGTCACAGGGTTCAAAGGGATAAATTTTTATAAGAACCATTCTTCTATCTCATTAAATTCTGCCAAACAATTATTGTTTGTAAATTACAGCTTAGGTTGCCAGGTCACACCAGGAAATCTTCAAGGCTGTAGTGACTTAAATATTTACTTAGTCATGAAGCTTTTCCTGGTACCTTACAGATGGCACGTTTACATCTCCACAAGTGCACTGATAGCTTCTTATTTTGTTTTAAGCAATTGAACCATGAGCATTTTTTTGCTGTGCAAGAACCCAGCAAGAAACTAATTGTCTTTTGGATTGCAAACTTTTTGGTTATTTAGTACGTGTGCAGTTAGCATTATAGGGCTTGAGGCTCTAGGCCAGGGATCGGCAACCTTTGGCACGCGGCCTATCAGGGAAATCCGCTGGTGGGCTGGGACGGTTTGTTTACCTCCAACATCCGCAGGTTCAGCTGATCGTAGCTCCCACTGGCTGCAGTTTGCCATTCCAGGCCAATGGGGTCTGCGGGAAGCGATGTGGGCTGAGGGATATGCTGGCCGCTGCTTCCCGCAACCCCCATTGGCCTGGAACGGCAAACCACGGCCAGTGGGAGCTGTGATCGGCCGAACCTGCAGATGCTGCAGGTAAACTGCAGCGGATTTCCCTGACGGGCCATGTGCCAAAGGTTGCCGATCCCTGCTCTAGGCCTTGATAAATAATAATGATAAAGGTGAGAGCTCTGTGCCTACATGATTTATTCAGAGATTTCCCAGTACAATAGCTGTGACCTCCTCATTTCTTTAATGGTTGTCTCTTGTTGGTGAAATGTAACCTTCCCTGCTCAATGTCTCTCAAGATATCCTAAAAAAAGAACAGGAGTACTTGTGGCACCTTAGAGACTAACAAATTTATTAGAGCATAAGCTTTCGTGGGCTACAACCCACTTCTTCGGATGCAAGATATCCTAGTTCTCTAGTTCTTTACAGGCACTCTTGTTGCAGAGCAACAGTGAAATCCCAGTTTTCTTTTTCTGAGTACAGTCCTCTCAGCACAGAGCTCCCTCTCCCCTTCCTTGTCTCTAGCTAATAATATCTAATGTAGGCCTCATTTTAATTTTGGAAACAGATTGAGTTCACTAGTCTAGATTCCTAACTTTCAGACTAAGACTACAATTATTTATTATTAGTAGTATGATTATTGTAATCACTCTAATATGGGTGCACCACTGCCCTTTACTTGGTGCATTCAGAAATCTTCAGCTGTATGTTAGAAACCCTCTATGCCAGCAACAATCAGAAGTTCTTCAGACAATGTAGCAGGGACCCAGACTAAAAGTGACAAATGCATGAATCGTTTTTGCTAGGTCTATATTGGAGAGAAATTGACATGGGCATCTAGTCAATCAAAGGTAGCAAATGCCGTGTGTGGCCACTGTTGTTACAGGAGCTATAGTGAGGATCCAGTAGATTGTGTTTACATGGACTCATACATCAGCAGGGCTAACAAATGTCTCTGGAATCATCTAGTCGGATTGGATTCCTTTTTAAACTCAACAGGAGGTTTTAAAAAAAAGCTGGTTTAAATTCAGGAAAAAAATGGAAAGATAAATTCAGTCTCTAGAAGGCCTTGTCTGAGTCTGTTACACCACTGTGTACAGCAATAAATCTACCTGATACTAGTTTCAAAGCTGAGAGAATCTGGTAGGCACTGACATTCCTTACATAGGCAAATCAATGTTAATATTTTGCACAGTAATTATGTGAGAGGCACTTGGCAGTCTGTGGCCATAGGAGGCTGAGGGAGAGCAGGAACAAGTCTGTCTGTCTGTCCGATTCTTTCCTATTTTCTGTGTCTTTCAGGATGATAATCTCTGTAGGCTATTTTGGCCTCTCACTTGACACTCCTAACTTGCATGGTGATGCCTACGTAAACTGCTTCCTCTCAGCGGTTATCGAAGTTCCAGCCTATATTATAGCCTGGGTGCTTCTCCGAAATCTCCCGCGACGATATTCGATGGCTGCTGCATTATTCTTGGGAGGCTGCGTCCTTCTCTTCATTCAGCTGGTCCCTCCACGTATGAACTTTTTAGCTGATATCAATCAGATTTTTTTTAATGGGTAAATTCCAGTGCCTAGCACTGGGCAACTATGTGAAGTACTGTGGAGGAGAAGAATCTTTCTCCAAAGCTGTAGACCAAATGCAGATTCTCCTTACCCATCCTTGCCCTTTCCCTCCACATCTGTTTGCTGCTGCACAGGGAGCTCATGTGACACAAGGGGTATGTCTACACTAGAGCTGCAGGTGTAATTTCCAGCTCGGGTAGACTTACCTGTGCTAGCTCTGATCGAGCTAGCATGCTAAAAATAGAAGTGCAGCTCTGGTAGCACAAGCAACGGGGCAGGCTAGTGGGACGGTATGATCATGTTTGAAACCCTAGGTACATACTCAGGGTAACTAGCCCCTTCTCCCACCCGTGCTGCCATGGTTGCATTTCTGTTTTTAGTACACTAGCTCAATCAGAGCTAGCACAGGTATGTCTTCCTGGGGTGGAAATTACACCTCCAGCTCTAATGTAGACATACCCAGTGTCAGATACATTCCTAAGCCTTTTCTTTCTCTAAAGTAAAGATAGTTTGTTCTCTTTATGGTCTGTTAAGATTCAGACTCTAGTCTGGTTTTGCCCTAATTTACACCCCTGGAGTCCCAATAAATTCATGGTGTGGGACAAGGTGTTAGACCAAATGGAGTAGTCAATTGGGTGGCACCAGAAGCTGGCATAATTCTGCAGAACTTATCTCCAGAAGAACCAATTGTCAATAATGTTTTTCCTACTTCGGTCTCATTAAGAACTTGAATTTCAGGAGAGCTATTAGGTAGCCTTTGTTATAAATAACAATACTAAAAGTAAACAAGTGTCAATACTTTTTTTAAAAAGTGAATGTTTGCCAATTAAAACATATTTGAAGGAAGGTATCTCATACTTAGAACCCCACCATTAAGTAGCCTTCTGCTAAGTACAGTAGAGATCGTTACCATACTGATCTGTTGATGGCTTTGACCATGTGTTTAGGGCTTGGTGTATAAGCATGTTATTGCAAATCAAAGAATAAATAAATGAAAGGGAGAACTGTCTTGCTTATTCTCCAAGAGTGAAAGGTGGGTTATATTATTTGCTACTCCTGGTCTTTAAATCACCTGTACATTGGTATGTGTTTTATTACAAAGCTCATCCCACTAGCTAGGGTTGAACCAGGATCTTAGAAATACATTGCCAATGTGTTTCTCCTTAAGCTGGCTCTCTGTCCTCAAACTTTATAGATGGCAGGACTGGATGACCTTAGGAGAAAGATGGTTTTATTTTATTAAGAGTCTTTATGTTAAAATGAATCAACCAAGAAATCCCAACACTGGAATTAAGTTGACGAGAAGCAAAAAATAAAAATGGCGTTAATAGATGCAGTGACTTGTTACAGTTTGACTGATGTTCTGATTGAATCTCCCTTTCAGACCTTCACATCCTGTCCATTATCTTGGTGATGCTGGGTAAATTTGGGATCACATCTTCCTTTTCAATGGTTTACGTTTACACTGCTGAGCTGTACCCAACAGTCGTGAGGAATATGGGAGTTGGAGCCAGTTCCATGGCCTCCAGATTGGGCAGCATCCTCTCACCTTATTTTGTTTACCTTGGTAAGATACCAGCTATTGTATCTCCTGCCAAATTGGCTACTATTGAAAACAGAATTGAACAGCTGCAAGTCTAGGCTGATTTCTGTAACAGTGAATCAGTGCTTCAGTTAAACCGCAGTATGTCTTTAAAGTCACGCTCTCATCTTGCCTTGTAAAGTCCAGGCTATATTGCCCTATATTTGTCACAGATTAGTCAACAAATATGCTTAACAGAATCTCAGCTTCTTCTACTCTTCTCAGTGAGTAACCTCAGCTCACAGAAGGCATTTAGAAATTCTAACATTGCTCAATACTTTGTGATTTGGAAACACAGAACTCGAAGAAATTATGCCCATATAATAGGATCTGTATTTGGCCATTAGTTTCCTAAAGAACATTTGGCCTCAAAAAATCACTGAACAATGATATCTGCGTATTAGAGTATCTCTTCATTAGGCTTCTGAGGCGACATCCTATCAGGATGAATGGGGCAGTTCACTCTTCTCTCTCAGCTTTTTTTTTCAGGCTGTCTGGAGACTCAGGGAAATGCCACTAAGAACGGATTTTTACCATGTGAAAGTTATCTTTGCAACCATGTGGACTATAGACTTAACTTTTTTTAACAAACATTTATATCTTACAGCACAATGGTACTGCAATTTAGACCGCTGTATGTTTGCATTATACACAGGACCCAAATATTAACCACTGGTTCATCATGGTGGTGATGTAAACCTGAGGTCAGCATGTCCTATGTTCTTTTAGGTGCCTATGACAGATTCCTGCCTTACATCCTCATGGGAAGCCTGACTGTGCTGACGGGAATCCTTACTCTGTTTCTCCCAGAAAGTTATGGCACGCCTCTCCCAGACACCATAGAGCAGATGCTGCGGGTTAAAGGGTAAGTGTTACCTTCTAATCTTCTCTCTTAAGAAAATTATACCATCTCTGAGAAAAATGTCCACATAAAATACAGTTCCCTCTTAGCTGTTTGATTCCCGGCTGTCTTTTGGGGGTGGTAATTTTTTTTTAGTTTAAGATCTCAAATCAGCAATAGAATTGACCAAATGGAACTCCACTGAGTTACAGCAGAGATGACTATCGGCAATATGCTGTGCATATCCTGCATCGTGCTGCTTGAAAGTTGTTCACAAATTGGAGGGAGCTCTTAGAAGAGGAACAAAAAAGTTTAAGGAGTTGTAAGGATTAAAGTACGAGAAACAACTGAACAAGCAAATGAAATGGAGCATGGGTAGGCATGTATAGCTTGTCTCTGATGGGTTTACACAGGTGTCATTAAAGGAAGAATTTAGCCCTAGTAATGGAATTTAATTGTGATTCTGTTGACGATTCATGAGCCTGAATAGAATCCAAGTCATTCTTTCAGAGTTGAGTGGCTCTGTGTACATGAGTATACAGTGCCCACAGGAAATAAACATGTGAAAAATGAGCTATTTTATGTAGTCTTTTTAAGAGTATAACCACATTTAAGATATTTAACATAAACATCCTTGACATGTAGCAAACATGGTAAAAATGTTGAAATGTTGTTTCATAATATGAAAGTTCATCATCCAAATAATTTCTTCTGGTATCAATCGGAAGTGTTCAGCACTTTCAAATCACAAGGTCATTGAGAGTTTTCAGCACTTCATTTTCTGATTTAGGAAGATGCTTAAGCATGTGAGTCATCCCACTGAAGTCAGTGGGATTTTAAAGTAAGGCACATGCTTAGATACTTTGCTGAATCAGGGCCCATATGGACAAACTTACATTTAGGATTTTGGAGGGTACTGTTTTAATTAGAACTTGCACTATTTGTTATTTTTCCTTGTTTACAGACTCAAGTACAGACATACATCTAATAGCACAAGGGTTTCAAAGGACGAAGAAGAAAGCCCAGTGATTCTTAAAAGCACGGCTTTTTGATGACACTACACTGTATACTTCATGATGGACTGAAAAGTAAACTGACTTTTCTTTTAATTTTCCTTCCAGAAAGGGCTAGTAGCAACACTTTGTGTCCTGTAATTATAAACTTATTTATTAAATGAAACACTGTTTTCAGTACGTTCTTTTTATATGAACGTAGATACTGTATATCGCTTCGTGAGATCTTCATCCACAGTCGTTTAATGTGTCAAAACCACAGAACTATGTTGGATAAACCCAGTTTATAATTTTAAGAATTACTATGACACTCTTGCTGTAGACCTCAATATCTAAAAGGTGCTTGTCACTGAGTGCTGATGGAGTGACTTCAGTCCTTAACGAGCTTAAGATAACTCATGTTAACAAGAGTTAAAAATTGCCAGCTCTTTCCAAATTGTAAGAAAAGGCTGCCAGTGATACTGGATTTCTCGACATGCACAAACACACATATCTGCCCGCAGGCAGGGAGCTTGTTATAAAGTAACAAAGGTGGTGAAAATACCTGGCTTGGCAATTTTATATCAGAACATAAATCATACACAGGTGGCTTTGCACAAGATTAATTCCTGAACAACTTCAGGGATGAAAAAAGAAAAACTTTGACAAATGAATTTGAAAACTTGACTTTATTTTAGCTGGAAATGGATTGAGAAGATTTTCTTGCACAAATCATTTGCAATATTTAAGTTTTGCTAGCAAAGTAATTCTGATTGTTTCAAATATCTTTTTAATATGACCACCGGGTGAAGTTGTTTACATCTGGTATTGGGGTGTGTCCTAGTCCAGGTGCTTATTTATTTTTAAAACTATAAATAGGTTTCATCTGTATTTCTTTTATCCTTTAGGATACAGTATGTAAGCTAATCCTTCTAAGTCTTTTGTACAGTTTGATTCGGGGCATTATGTCTATTTTCAAAACTTTCTATTTCCTGTTTTGTTCTTTTTTTGTCAGTTTCCTCAACATGGAGGGCTAAATTCCACTCTCAGGTGTACCCTGTGCACTCACATAAAATTGAATGTGAGGGGGTTACATGGGTATAATTAAGATCAATATTTAGCCTCAAGTCCTGGCCATAAGCTCGACTAAGAGCCAAGAATGTCATTTCACATGTTCTGTTTTCTCACAAATATCATGAAATCAGTGAAAAAATTTTTAAAGAGCAAAACCAAGAAATCGTGTTAAAAATCTGCCAAGAGCCAATTCCTTTGATTGCAGAAGCTGCCTTCGTAGCGTTTGTGTTTCTTTCGGGAAAACTTGTTTCTTTCTCATTTGGACAATGCTGAAAGCACATTTCTTCACACTGGGACAGGTTTAAGCAGGGCCGGCTCCAGGCACCAGCCCACCAAGCTTGTGCTTGGGGCGGCACCTGGAGGGGGGCGGCACCGCGCTCCGGCCGCCGGGGAGAGCGGAGCCACAGTGGGCTAGCCGCCCTCCCCCGGCGCTCTGGCCGCCGGGGAGAGCGGAGCCCCGGCCGGGCTCTCTGCCCTCCTCCCGGCGCTCTGGCCGCCGGGGAGAGCGGAGCCCCGGCTGGGCTCTCCGCCCTCCTCCCGGCGCTCCGGCCGCCAGCGGAGCCGCGGCAGACTCGCCGCCCTCCCCCCAGCGCTCTGGGGGGGGGCGGCGGGAGGCTTTTTTGCCTGGGGCGGCAAAAAAGCCAGAGCCGGCCCTGGGTTTAAGAAATGAATTTCATAAAGCATTCTGTGGTACTTTAATTTTTTTAGAACGGTTTAATAAATAGAGTCTTACCTTTCAGTAATCAAAGCTGTTAGCTGCTTTTCCAGAAAGAAAAGCCTCTATTTACAAACATTTAACATTTTACTACTGTGTTAAATTTAGCAGCAGCTAATTATCCTGATAGCCAGGGTGCCTTATTCTCTCCCTGAAGACCATGCTGTAGCAACAGGTTTGGTACAGTGCCTCCTGACTTATAGAAGTATGTTGTAGACCCTTCCTCTCTTTCTTGTCCTTACTATGTGCATGCACATTGCATGTGCTGTATGTGTGTGAGTTGATCCTGATCTGATTCTGTAGTTCTGCCTGCCCACAGCTAAAGTTGTGAGATTTTATGTACCTTAGCCTATCTATTAAATCTCTATCAGATGTGCCATTGGCATGTCTTTCATCATCTGATGGAAGTAACTAGAAGTTGGCAAGTGTTACTGTGTTTTGGGGTATAGAACTGACATTATCCTATGTAAAAGGGAGCTGCAAGGAACGTGCAAAGCCCCTATTAACTTTTAAAGGGAGATTTGTTGTTTCTCGCTCTGCCCTCCTACATTTCCTTGTCCTGTTAGGGCCATTATGAGATCTGGAGTGAGATTTGCTCTACACTGGTCTCAAATCATACACCACTGCCTTATAAAATCCACTTGGCAGGGATTTGTCACTCTGTCAAGACAAGAGCGTCTCCTTTGCGTCTGCTTTGGGTAACTCTGGTTACAGTGTTTTGGCTATATTTGCATTTTCCCCTCCTAAGAATTGCACTTTGCAACATTCCTACCAGAAGGGCACAAACAGCCTCTTAGAGAGCATATGTCTACACTTTGCACTGGGGGTGTAATGCCCAACTCTAGGAGACACGCCTGCGTTAGCTGGCAGTGAGCTAGCCTGCTAAAAACAGAATGTAGCTGCAGCAGTGCGTGTGGCAAGAGGGGCTAATAGCACCAAACACCTGGAATTACACCTCGAGGTCAAAGTGCAGACATATTGACTTTCTGTGTCCTATGCATGAGATCATTGGAATCTGTTCTAAAATATAACTTGAAGTCTTACAGCATGTGGGCTTTTAACTGATGCCTAATCTAAAACTGGAATTAACTCCAGGCCAAGGTCTGAAATGCCCTTAACACCTCATTTAGCTGTTACTTTCCTCCACTGATTTATTCCATTATGTCACTGGACAATGAGATTTTCTTTTTTAAATGTTCCAGTGTTTACTGAGCAATCTTGAGGACAATGGTTGAGCCAGCTGAATGGGGAATTTCTCAGTTGTGATGCAAGGCAGATATACCATGGCAATAATGAACAATTCTGATATCACAGCATGTATTTTAGTGCACATTAGTCTTCTAAAAATGGAAAATATAACACAAAATATCCTCCATGCTGCTGCAGAGTGTATGGATATTAATGCCGTATATACTCGTTCATAAGCCAAATATTTTTGGTAAAAAAGTGATGCATCAAAGAGCAGGGGGTCGGCTTATAAATGGGTCTACACCAAAATTTGATGATTTTAAACTCTATGGAATCATTGAATTGAATATCTAATACATTGTCATTTTGTTTACTTGGAGTGTCTTCAGGCATGGAGCCCCTCAGCTCCCTGTAGCCGTGGTTCGCCGTTCCCAGCCAATGGGAGCTGTGGGAAGTGGCGTGCGACTTCCCGCAGCTCCCATTGGCTGGGAACGGTGAACCATGGCTATAGGGAGCTGAGGGGCTCCATGCCTGCAGACGCTCCAGGTAAACAAAATGTCCCAACCTGCCAGCGGCTTACCCTGACAGGCCGGGAGCCAAAGTTTGCCAACCCCTGAAATATAGGGTCGGCTTATGAAAGGGTCATACGGTTTTTGCTCTTTTTACCTAACCATCTTGGGGGGTCGGCTTATAAACGAACGGGCTAATGAACAAGTATATACGGTACATTAATCTGATTCCCATTTGACAGTTTACCCCATGCACTGTTTTCACAATTGGTTTTGTTAATGGGTGGCACTACCCACCTGGGTTATTTTTCGGTATGACTCAGTGGATTCTCTGATCTTGAAAAGAATGCACTAATTTTAGTAAAATAAAAACCAGCTCAGAATCTAACTGAAATATTCCTCCTATGTTCTTTTGGAGATGTATGTTAATAAGATCAATGTGCAAGTGAAGAGAGTCAGATAAAATCTAGACTAGAGGAACACTGAAAATGATTACCTGAACCAACAGTGACATCAGTAATGGCAATAGAAGGTAAGGTCTGGAGGTGCTTAGCACAATTGTAGATACTTGTAGAACATTTTGGTGGCACCATATTGTATCTAAACTTTGGCAGAGTCATTTTGAGTGCTACATGTTCAGACCTTTGTAGCTTCAAGACATCATCTCAGTAATGGTCTTTAAAGATTCTGTTGGCCTGTCACTTATTTTTAGTGTTTTGTAGGTTGGGGTGACATCGGGGCCTTCTGAACTGCTCTGATCTGAATATAACATTTTTACAAACAGGTTTTTGGAAATGCTCCATTCTTTCTAAAAAAGCCAACACGTAAATTTAATAGAAGCCTTCCTCCTTCCATGAATCACTTTCTGAACCAGAAAGACCCCTATGAAAGTAACATTAGAACAGGGTCCTTTAGTATCAGTAGAGTTCCAAGGTGAGGTCATTGAGGTGTACTGTGTAATTCCATCTGCTATTATGTAAAGGCTTTTAAAATTGTACCATTTTTCATTTTTACCGGTATGTTAGTTAACAGCAGATATACTATACAGAACATAAATATGTGTCTTTAAAGAAGACTTTAACTGTGCTTCAGTTAATAACTGAGGGCCCTGTTCTGTCATCCTTACCTTAGTCTGTGGGTAGTCCTATTGTTTTCCAAGGATTAAAGTACTACTCATTGGAAGGGTGGCAGAATCTACCCCTGAATGAGGGGTTGTGCTAAGATGGTAAATTCACTGTAATATTTACACCAGGGTAGCATGCAAAATGGATTCAGACTGTCTTAAATCTACAAAAGCTGGAAAATTCAGAATGGCTCATGCATTCTTTTCCTCATCTGCTAAGAATCGCTGCCTGTATGGTACATAAGATTCCTTGCTGATAGACAACCCCCATCATCGTTATGAGAGACATGGCGTAGTGGTCATGAGCACAGGGCTAGGATCCAGGAACACCCAAGTTCTAATTCTAGCTCTGAGATTGACTCCCTTTATCATTTTGGACAAGTCACTTTGGGCTTGGTACCTCAGTTTCCCAGTATCTCCAGTAAAATGGAGATAATACCACCTCTCAAGGGTGTTGGAATTAATGAATGTTTGTGAAGAGTTATGTAAATGCTCAGGATGATTATCTGCCATTTCTGAGCACTGGTTAGAATTTTTAGCTTTACTTCTGAATCTGGCTATGAATTTAACATTATAGTATAGTGTTAATTTTAATTGGTTATTGTTTTGTAGCACCTGCTGCCAGGTGATCTCAGAGCACTTGTGACGTTAGCTTCACCAGTGCTGGTACACCACCCCCTTTCGTACTCCTAAATTACAGATTGGGAAAGAGAGGCACAAAGAGGAGGTGGCCAGGGCCCCATAGAAAGTCTGTTACAGAGCCAGGTGTAGAACCTGGGTTTTCTAGTCCCCAATCCTGTGCTTTCACTCACAAACTCCTTCCCTGGTGCTATGTAAAACCGCACTTTTGAGAGTGCTTCCTTTTGAATGTAGGGCACATTTAAAATTTACGTTAGTCTCCCAAGTGCATGGTGAGACTATCTTCTTTCAATAGCTTTTCATTTGTTCAGAGGATCCATAATAATACTGCCATGGTGTAGAAGATGTCTTGGAAACTGCTTGCCATTGGTGCGGTAGACGCCTGGCTTGACACCACAGCTGTGCCATTTATGTCCTGGCTCCAAGTGGCTCATCCATTATTATAAATTGCTCTCTAAAGCCCTAAGCCTGCAAGCACTTAAGTAGCTTCACTCACTGGAGTAGTCCTATTGCACTCAGTGAGACTCCTCCTGTGAATAAAGTTGTCTGTGTTACTATTTGTAGGATTGGGGCCCTAAACTTGGACAGCTGGAAATGATTTGATTACAACATGAAATCAGCTTACATAGCGTAGTGCCTTGCTTGCAAATGCATCCTGGGGCACTTTATGATAGCCAAATATTTTCAGAATCAAAGAGTAGTTTCTTCTTGTGAATGTAAATACTCTTTAAGTATAACAAGGTTGATTTCAAATAATTGATTCTTAAAGCATTTTCCTGTAAAAATTGTGATATGATTATTTGTAATATTCAGAATAAAATCATTCTAAAGAGAACTCCAAATATGAAGTGTTGTCCTGGTGTTCTTTTATGCCTTCGTGGTTTTTTTCTTTATTCGTTAGCCAGATGAAATATGGACGGTCCAGTGCCTTTTTGGCCACCCCTCCTCCCTTTTTCAAACCTTCCAGGCCTTATCATGCTTCACCTCACATGGCACAATGCCGTTTCTCATGGATTTCAAGTCAAATTTGCTCTAAGCAAATGTCACGCTTGGGTCTTCACCAAGGGGAGCATTGTCAGTTTCCACAGCCAAATGAGTGCAGGCTGGCAAAGAGGTGACTGGGATGCAAAGGAATTATGTAACTCATGCCTGCTTGGTGTGGTTCTCTGTCCTTCTCTAGTGGCACCTTAGACCA